CATGCTGGCCTGCAGCCAACTCTAACCATACAGACTTTAATCCCATAAAACAGAATACACCTTTACTCAGTAATGCAGCACTGTTTCCTTTCGTTTCTCCCAGACTAAGGAAAGGTTCACAGCCCATCTTCTCTTGGGACAATCAAAGTCCACATGCATATTTTGGTATTATGCTCTAGACTGAAAATGGTACACCAAGTCATCATTTAAATCCCAAATTGATATGCAGCCACTAAAACAAATCTTAAGAGTACAAGTCCTATTTTTCATTGCATATCTAGGCAAAACCACATCAAACATTTGGATTAAAATTCACCTGTACATACAGAGGTCTGAAGATCACAACTGCATTTTTATTTTTGTCAGATTTTTCTCACTTCCTCTATCATAAGCACTCTGCAGTCAAGCCAGTCTCAACCCTTACCTTAATCTTTTGCTAAATTCCTCCTTTATGCTTTAGGAACTTCAGGGTTTGGAATACTGCAGCTCTTCCTTCTGATATTTCTAAATCCATGCGCTGCAGACTTGAAGGAATCCAGAGTGCTACAGCCTGGTAACTCCTGGACTCCTGATAAACAACACCATTGTTGCATTTTCATCTTTCACATACATAAAATGAGCACAAATAAATGTTGTTTAAGATTTATTTTGTTGCATTCAGCCAAACACTTTTGCCCATCATTTAAGAGACCGGATTCAGCTGAAATGGATTGCATAATGTTACGCAGTACCAATTAGGGGAATATTACCGGACTGCTGATGTAAGGAACAAACACAAAAAAGTACAAATGCCGGCTGCACTAAACAGAAGTATTGTTCTATATCATGGCTGCACCGTATCTGACCAAAAGTCACAACTCTAAAAAAGATAAAATCCACTTTGTATCAACTTCATTGGAAATTGCTTTTGAAGTTTCTGATAAACATCAGTCGAGTCAGTCCACATTCCCATTATTATGAGAAACAGAAGCCACAGAGACCAAGCGTTAAGTCTGAAAACACAAACTAAGTGGCACACCGGTAAAAGAATGAATGAACCCAAACTGTCTACCTCCGTTTCAAACTATTGGATGGTACCATTCATCAGAGCTTAGCCGACACAGCCCTCAGAACAATCCTCTGGTTTTGTACTAGCTTGAGGCTGAGTCTTCAAGCAGAAGGCTCACAGAGCCATCAGGTTCTTTCTTCTTCTTCAAGATCCTTCCTCTTACGCAAGGGAGTCCCAGCAAGGCACTCGCTGCTGCAGGATGCTCTTTGCAATATCTACATTTGGCAACACAATCGCTTTCTCAGCTTCCTCAGTGTAAAGGGGGAGCGCATGTCCTCCCCAGCAGCAGGCATTTGTGCAAACAGAACCCTGCTACAGTCACTAAAATAGTGACATGAGAACCTGACATGGAGGAGAAAAGGTACTGCTCCATGCCAGCCCCCAGCTGCAGGTGCAAGCAGCTGAGTGCTCACAGGGCAACTGCCGCAAGGAGAAAAGCATGGCAAGTACAAAGGATCATTCCCCTCTCCTACACTTTCAGCTTTATCAACAGCACTAGTAGCCAATAGCTCCATTGTGGCAGCTAGGAAGATGTACGCTGAAAGAATTTACCTTTTGTTGCAGACAAAAGAGGAATTCTAGGAGAAAGTCTATTCTCTTGGTGGTCATGGGTGACCCTATGTGGCTTTTAATACAGGTGTCCATACTCCCTCTACTGACTAAAGCTGTAACCACACATCTGGTCTTGTACTGGACACTCATAATTCTCTGTTACATGCTTGGGGGGGGGTGGGGGTGGTGGAAATTTCAATTACATTGTTAGTCTTAAGCATCCAAAGAGCAGGAGGGTAGGACTAGCAGGTCACGGCTCCTGAATCCTTTTCTTGTAACCTAGTGTGAAACACTGGACAAATCAGAATTCATTCCCCAACACACACATAAAAATCATAATAAAGCTTCTCTAGCTTAAAATTGCAGTGCTCTAAATCCACTCTTAAGTATTTTCAGTTGCTTATAGAAAAGAATTGCAAATATATACAACATTAGAGTCTCCTGGTAGCAGTAAGCTGAAATTGATCTTTCCAGCTACTCTGTCACCACAGTCTGTGACTTGCCTCACTTCTAGCAGTATGAATTTCCTAACCACAGATGAAGACAGCATGCTGCTTATAATTTCGTGCAACGGCATTAAAAAAAACATTTAAAGGTACTTAATGAAAATGTAAAAAGCAATGCAATGCCATAAATAAAAGCGGTCAGGTAGCAGGGCGGGCAGATGTCATGCTGTATTTACTCAGACTCTTCTGGTGAGCTGCCATTGCTCTGCAGCTACTAGAGATGCTAACAAGAGAGGATGAGGCAGTGGATGTGGAAATAAGCTAGGAGATGGCAGTGCGCTGGTGGAGAGTGAATGCGTGACCTCAGCCATTATAGTCAAGAAGAAATTTTAAATGGCACACATAACATTAGCTCAGATTGACACAACTGTACCTCCCAGGGACAGTCTAATAATACATGAAGAATGGAGGGTGCCACGATACTAAAAGAACAAATTCATGCCCTGCATATACTGACAACGTCATCCCTGGGTTTGCACAGCAGCTCTAGAGCAATTAGGGCCCTGTCACTCTGGGTGCAGGCATGCTGAGCCCATGAAACCCCCCAACACAGTGATGCCCTGTTCCATAAAGCACCAGTCCAGCCTCCCTTCTAACCACCCCATCATTACTTTCACTCCTGGTATTTATACCAGCTTCGTTTTATGCTTTCAGCCTCAGTGAACACAAAATGCTTGGTAGCATCAGAATTCATTCCACTGTCTCCAACCTAACTATGAGAGAGCAAGCGAAACGGGAATAGCCTCCAAGGGGACTGCAGACTCCGCATTTCCCTGGCAGCAAGACCGTCTGTCCTACGTGACCTACTTGTAGCTGCTGAACAACAGCACGCTGCAATAGGAGGTGACAGCTTTAACTGAGACTGCAGGGCTGGTGGGGACGGGGAACGGACAGCCGAAGGAACTTTGCACTTCTCTTAACACTGTAATTTAAGGTCTCAGCCCCTGGCCTTTTAGACCTGCTGGATAACGTATATCGGTGTTAGCCCTAACAATAACAGTAAGCTGAACTCACAGATTTAACCCAAAAGCAAAATGACCTTGAATACTAAGCAGTTCTCCCCTCCCTCCCAAAACCACTGTATGTAAGAATTTTTTTATTATTTATCTGTACTGAATAGGCAGTACAGATACCTACTTTCCACTAACAAATGCTAAAGTTAGTTTCCTCTCTTATGCTTTATTTCTGTTGCCTTCTGGATTTTACACCTCACATCCCCCATCACAATTTCATCACTGTTGCTCTTCGCTGCCTTCAACTACTGCCTCACTTTTAACGTCTTCACTAGTTTCAACTTCTTGTTCGAACTCAAAACAAGCCATCATCAGTTTCACCAATCATTGCATGCAAAACAGCAATTCTTTTGCCACAGCTTCTGCATTTACCCAACCCTCTGACAGAACCTGCTGCACTGGGCTTTGGTTTCCTTATAGGGACTAGAGCACAAGCCCTTGAGGGGAGCTCATCTGAGAAGAGCCTCCACATGGTCTTTACAGGACCTGTCCCCTACATCGAGCACCTGCAGCTGGGACTTCCTTGCTCCTGGGATGACCACAAGATCACTATTTATTTCTCTGATGGTGTGATGGTGGTCTCCATTACTAGTAGTAGATGAATATACTCAAGATGACCATTCCCCTTACTAACTAGAACATTAGCAAAAAGCCTTTATCTGTACTCTATACTAATTACAAATACTCAATAAACTTTTCCTATATAAATTTTATGGTGGGAGGGAGACAGGTCAGGAAGAATAATCTTAAATTCAGGGTTATTCTCCTTTCAGGCTAATACAATACATCTACTGCGTGCATGTGTATTTGGGTACTATATTTGACACATTAAAAGAGTTCTGCCATTTCAGCACTGAATTTGGAATTCATTTTATTCTGGATTCATCCTGTGATCTCAACAGACAGACTACAATAAAAACAGTTCACACTTTGGGACAGATAGGTTTTAAAACTAATTTAGGCTCAGGTCTGTCTATCCACCTGCCACACATCCCTATCAATATTGTTGTGCCTTCAATAAATATTTGTTCCATGTTTGCTAAACTACAGAACCACTTTGGGTAAGCAAGGAGTTACTGCCTACACAGGGGCTGCAGCCCTTTAGAAGACCGTGCTCCAGAGAAACACATTGCAACTAGTTCACAGAAACATATCACAAAATATGTCATCAGGCTCTCTGCAACAATTCTAATGAATGGCCTTTCTTACTGCCCTTTGGGTGCTTATCAGCAGCAATCCTGCACATACAGGGGGAAAATTAATGCTCGCCAGAAAAATTGTATCTTATCTAGAGGCTGGTACTTCCTAAGAGCATAACAACTGTTTAATTTGGCAAGAAACCAAAGCAAGTCCAGTATGCTGTAGTGACAGACTTTTACGACCAGCAGTGCTGTATGCAGCTGCAGTATTTCACTGTCTCACGTTGGGCTCTGCTGAGCAGTGCAGTCAGTTAAATCCAAAAGACAAGAGTAACACAGTGAGCTCGAGGTATTACAGGAACAATGTGTTCATCCGGTACGTGTGCTACAAACAATCTGAATACTGAAAAAAAATGCCAACTGTTTTACCTTCCTATGCCACATAACTGTGGTGTTATTTAGTTTTCTACTTTACCTCCAGTAGAGGCAAAGTTAATCCACAGTTAATTCAGCCAGTCACGCAAAGGCTGCAGACCACTTATCATTTCACCCTTAAGTAACACTTATCCCAAAAAGGAATCAAGTACAGTTATTAATAAAAAAAAAAAACCCAACAAAAAAAACCCCCAAAAAACCACAAAACAAGATTAAAGCACTGACCACCTTGCCTACATACAAACTCGGATATCAGACTGCACTTTGTGTAACGGAAACTTCACCCTCCAGAGTTTGAAAGTCTTACAAGAAACCTCGGCAAACTCCATCACTGTCAGGCCACAGGCTGAACCAGTTCCACATGCTGAAGGCAACGGTCTCATCTGCAAGCGTTCACGTACTAATCTCAAAACGCCAAGCAAGAGGCACTGACAACAATACCGGAATGCAAATGTTGTGGCAAGTGAGAGGAAGTTACTCCCTTAGAAGTGCATCACCGCTCTCCCAGGGCTTCAAATATGATCAGTTCTAAGTTCCTGCCTCACAACAATCTTAGAATAGAAACACTTCCCGGTGAATCAAGAACCCAGACTGAAGGGCATATCCTCTGCTCACTGAGTGAACATGAACGTCCTTTTCTGGAGCATAAGCAGCTAAAGGATGCATCGAGGCCCTAGTAACTACTGAGGTTTAAAACTAGGAAACTCTTAACAGTAGCACCAGAACCACACCCCTACATTATAACTACTTACAGTATTTTGTGATGTATCTTTTATTGCTTCCATTTTATAGGGGGAAATAAAGGTAGCTAGAAGAAACAAAGGTTTAGTCTGCTGAATAATTACTGAACTCCTGAACATATTACTGTTTTTATTAATTGGCTTAACACTTAAGCAGTCCGTAGGGCAGGAAGAGCAGCCAGACTCCAAAACTGCCCAGCACAGCCCCACC